CCCTATAAAACAATAAATATTAAAAATTAGATTTTATGAATGCATTGGTATAGATATATATAATCCAGGCTAGATTCATTCTTATATGTTCATTTGACTTATTTTTTCTTCTGCTTTTAAAATAAACTAAAATTAAAACATTTTTATCTACCCTTAAAAGTATGGTGGGCCCTAGGTACTGTGCCTGCCATTCCTCACGAACAGTTGGCCCCACTGAATTGACCTATAAAGTTAGAAACAACCAACACATGTTCCAGAGAAAGTTGATCCTACTCCTACCAGCCCCTCCCACCATGATCACACACAAACACACACCCTTTTATATCGAAGTGAAGGCCTTCCAAGTTGTCTCTTTGAGAAATAGTACATTTATTCTAGTGATCCTATCATTTCTGAAGTTTATTAAACAGCTCAATTTGGACACTTAAGATAAAAATATGATATTTATAATTGGTTGAAACAAAACTATCTTAGTGAAAATAATATTTTCCTATAAGAGAATAGTTTGGTTTTTATAGTATCAAACTTTGAAAAAGCCTGTGTTTAAATTTAAGCATCATATTATATGTTTTTAGTTAAAGTGTTTATTTTTTTAAAAGGCTTCTAGCTAAATTGTCGTAAAACTAAGCTTGCCATCGTCTGCTAAATAATGAATATTTCCTATTTTTGAGCGAATAACATAGAATTATATTTGTCCATTCTCCTGAGACAAACAGTACTTACTATATTTTTCTTGCAGTATATTCTTTCTATCAGCAGAGAAAATCTAAACAAGCATCTATTAACTGGTAAGTCCAATGTTTTATTTACCAGTTGTCATTTTGAGTGAAGCACATGAGACTAATCTTATCACATGATTTATTGGGATTTGTTTACTATTTCTTTTTATGGGTTATTAAAAGGAAGACTGTGTACAATACCAATTTCTTCTTGAAAAGTACTAGTGATACATCCTCTGGCATCTTTTCTTCATGTTTTCAGTGAGTCAAGTGAAAGTCATTGGTTCAACAAGTATTGAACTCCTGTTGTCTTCTAAGCTCTGGAATAAATGAGTGCTCACTCCTCGATGAAGGACTTACAGTTTAGCGGGCCAAGAGATATACTCTACTGATTTGCAAAGTGACATGATTAGATTTGCATTTTAGAAAAACCAAAAGCAGCAGTGTGGAGGCTGATAGAGGGCTGCAGTCTTTAGGGTACTGGGATAACCCCTGTGTGCAAAAACGAGGGCCTAGATAGACTAAAGCTATGGCAATGGGGTTAGAGACAAAGGTGCAAGTTCATAATTTCTGTAGGAGACCAAATAGAGGATGTAGGAGACTGAGAAAGAGGAAGGTGTGGAATACAAAAACCCTGAGGTTTCTAACTTGAGTAACTAAAAGGCCTACACAATAAAGGAACACACCCTGGCTGCTAATTAAGTCTGTAGCCTGGCTAATCCAGCCAATCACATCCCATGTAGCCTTTGATCATAATAGTTTTTTCTCCTCCTCAGCATTTGTACCGAACAGATTCACTCTGTAAAACAAGCCACTTAAATATTTCTCTTGTCTTCTAAATCAGCCCGTCTCGATACAGTCCAGCAGTCTCTGATCTTTGGAGAGTGGTCATCCATGACTTATCTGTGTTTCTCCATTGTCCCCTACCCAAAGCCAGTTGGCAATATTTGTTTTGAGTTTAATTGAATTGAACTGGGAGAAAGAGTAATGAGGGAAGTTACTCTAATGATTCACCAGGGGCTTAAGAAATAGGCTTAGTATTCTTAACTCAGTTTCTTTACTTACATTTGTAAGACTGTCTTTTGGATGGGTAGATGGGTGGGGTGGGGCTAGGTGGCTAGATTTACTCATGTTGATCCTAAGAAAGTAAATACACTACAAAACAGCTTTTAAAAAGGTAGTATAGCTGACCTAAGACGATCTCTTTGTAGCATACACTGAATGTATTAAAATAATAGCAAACATACATTCATGAGACACCAGACACCATACAAAGAATTAGTATCAATAATCTATAGTATGATAACTTGATTCAGAAGCCTCTAGGCATGGTATGAGAAAAGAACTTTGGCTGAACATTTCCAATCATAAATAAATCTTAAGTTAGAGGCAACTTTTAAAGTATGCAATGCTTGCTTCTTTCCCAGGGTGGCCAAAATTACAGCAATGTAAGAATTTGCATAACAGAAATTGGAATGTTGGACTTTTTTTTTTTTTTTTGAGAAATGAGGATAGTTGATTTTTGTTCATGTCTTTTACTGCCAAATGATTCAATTTACCAAACTGTTGTCAAATGACAATTTTAACTCATTATTTTTATGTTGCTAAGAATAAATAACTATCATACTATTGTTGGGGAATGATTAATATTTCAATTTGATAATGTGAAATAAGAATTGGAATTTTCTTTTTCTTTTTCTTTTCTTCTTCTTCTCTCTCTCTCTCTCTCTCTCTCTTTCCTCAGCTGTTGAGAAGTACCCCAACGTGAAGGTGTACTTTGGCCACAGGCTGCTGAAATGCTCTCCTGAGGACGGACTGATCACAGTGCTTGGGTAATCACCAGTCCGCTTTCACTTCAGAGTGAAAAGCAAAGGTCTGAAGTGAAAAAATTATATCTGTAAACTGTATTCTTAGGCTCTTTTGAAAGGGTTACATGATTACTAAAAGTGTAATTCAACTGGGTTCTAGATTCAATGAGTTTTAGATTGAAAATAGACCTTAGGTGCCCTCCGAATCCCCTCCCACCGTATTTCATGCTGGTGACCACACTCTGCCTCAGCCTCTCTGCCCTCGAAGCAGATGACCCCAGCCCGCTTCTCCTCTCCTCTTTCCGGATGTTGTTTGTCTGCTTCTCCTTAGCCGACTCTATTTCCTCTAAAGTTCCTCATGTCTCACTCCTGGGATATGTCATGGATTCACAGTCCTTTCAACAGCTGCTTGTAAAGTCACATCTCTAAAATGAACCTCTCTAGCCCAGGCCTCTCCCTACATTCCCAGCCCTTATTTCAATCTAATCAGTGGTAATTTATCATTAAACATCTTTGCAGGTACCTCTTGCCATGATCTCAAACATCTGAAACCTTGATCATCTGTTTTTCTCCAAGCATGCCCCACTCTTGACTTTCCTAGTATGATTATCCAGATAACTAGAATAATTTTTCTTGTGTCCCTTTCCCTATTTTCTCTTTTCTGCTGGCCTCAGAGAATACATCTCCATAGTCCTTGGCTATCATCCCTGCACAGGTCGGCTACTGCGGTCACCTTGTCCCCATCTCCCTTCTCTTCTGCCTCTGCTTCAATATACTGACTACAAGTGAGATTCCTTAAGTTACCAGTTTTCATACATCATCCCCCTAATGGAAAAAAATATAGATTTTCTTCCTTTTGCCGGGATAATGTATTTAAACCTTTTGTCTTAATGTTCAGAATTCTCTTCTTCTCCTCCCTCCTTTCCTCACCCACACTGTATTCTTTTGTTAATCTTATCTTCTGCTACCCTCTGCTCAAGCTAAACGTATGGGTCATAAAAAACATATCTTCGTCACATCTCTGTGATTGTTCATACATTCCGTCCACTTCACACTTTGCCTGCTTTTCGAGATTTTCTCCTTCATTTAGGAAACTCAACTCTAAGTCTTAGCTAGACACGTATGTGGTCTAGCACGTCTTTATTAATCAGTATGGTCGTGTATTATTCTCATTCTCAGAAGAAAATCCATCGTAGGGATCAGCATTATCCTCATTTTATAGCTATGAAGTCAAAGCTCTAAATCAGATGTGTAAAAGCAAGTAGTGGCCCTGCAAGTTGCTACCTTTTAGACCCAAGTGGAGGTATGTCATCATTTTCACCACTAGACCTTTTTTTTTTTTTTTTTTGTGGATGGTTCATTTTATTTTCCAGATCTGACAAAGTTCCCAAAGATATCACTTGTGACCTCATTGTAGGATGCGACGGAGCCCATTCAACTGTCAGAACTCACCTCATGAAGAAACCCCGCTTTGATTACAGTCAGCAATACATTCCTCACGGCTACATGGAATTGACTATCCCACCCAAGAATGGGGAGGTAAGTCCCTTTCCTCTCTTGTCCCCTTTCCACGTGCAGCTCCCTCCCCGATACTAGTGTAGAAGCAGGTTCTACCACAGTTCTCGGTTGCATGCCTTGGTCAGTTTTGAGGTTTGCCATAGGACTTAATAATTAATGAATTGTGGGTACAGATATTCATATAATAATATGTATGTATATATATCACTATAATATCACCATATAATAATATCGCTCTTCTTTACCCTTTGATATACTTTCATGAGTAGTAAAGAAGAGAGGAATTATAGCTACCTAACTGAAATTACACAAGAAATTTGTCTTACATAATAATATCATGTTTCTATTCTCTCTTGGGAGAAAAAAAAATGAATTGGGAATCAATTCTGTAAACTGAAAACCCAGAGTTCTTATACTCATGATTAAATCAATAATTATTGAATAAAGTGAACAGCAAGTAGTTGCAAGGAGATTTCCCTTGAATTTTTCCCATTCCCTGCTTCCTGCATTAAACCATGTACAGGTAGAGGCAAATATGTGGTATGTATATTTTATATTTGTCATAAGCAAATAAATGTAGGAAGTTATGAAGAAAAATTAAAATACCAACAGAAGGAATAAGAATCTTATAAGTAAAGGCAAGTAAATAGCATTACTTAAATACTGGATTTGCATATAAAACATTAATTTTTTCAGGTACCAATTTAACCTATTCATTTGAAATTTAGATATCTAGAAAATACCCAAACTGGGATAGTGGTATTATATACCAGTTACATAGCAAACCGTACCCACCAGTCAGATCCATATTTTGACATTTTATTATCTTTCTATTTTTATTTCCTAGTTAAAAACATATTTACTAATTCTTCAATGCTGATTTTATGATTTTCAGGTTGGTCTCATTCTTATGGACCAGGATCTGATAATTCTGAATTATAAAGTATTAGGGTCTGTTGAAAAATTGTCCCAGACTTGAGTAGAATCATGCCTCCTAATGTAGATTTAAGTTAGCCATTTATTTTCTAGGTATTCATATTTAATAGTAATGATCAGTGATTTACAAAAAATCTCCACAGTTTTCACATAGCAATGTGACCCAGACATAGGACTATTTTGATATGGTCCAAAAACAATTCAATAAAAATTACTTTCCCTTCCTTCCTCCCTCCCTCCCTTTCTTCCATCGTTCCTGTTTCTTTAATGTTAACAGATACTTTTGCTCTATCTCTGATGATTGGAGTGGGAGTGAGAGATTGGGTGAATGATGAGACTGGGTAAATAGAGAGGGCTGCTTTTGGCAAATGGATGGTAGACACATCTCCAGGCTGTCTTTGCACAGCAAGCAAACTATTTTTGCTTAGACATTATGTTCGGAGAGCTCGTAATGAGAAAACCAGTGGTGATTACTATGAGCCCGACCCTGGGACTGCTGTTGGATAAGCGTATCTGTTGAGAGCATGAGTTGGTAATAAAAAAGTTGAAAATTTAAAGGTTTGTTTTATAGGGTCATGAAATATGTTCTTGCCATCATGTTTGCTATATCACACTATAATCTATGCCAATGGTGAGAGGTATATATTATCTTCCAAATAGTTTTTAATCAGCAGTTTCAGCTTTTACAGTTGCGATGAACGGTAAACTGGTTGGCTGTCATTTATTCGTTCTTTCTATTTTGAGGTTGTGGAAGTGGTCAGAAGATAGCAAGAGGGAAAAGCAAGGAGGACATTCACCTCCCTCAGGCTGGTCTCTTCACTACCCATCTAAAACCCTGCTTCTTTACGCCGCCCCCCCACTCCGCCAGCGGGCTCAGCAGGTTCACTCTTACCCAGAAGCCACTGTCCTTCACTTAGTTGATCTACGAATCCCTTGTTTTAACCACTCCAGCCCCACAGATTTCTTCCCTTCCCAGTTCTTATTTCCCGTACTTCTAATTTGGCACCAAATCACTTATCGTCTCTCTACCACTTGAATTGTTGCTGATGGGAAGTTATTTGGCTTTCTAAATGGATACAATTCACCTATTCAACGACACTGTAAGGTCTTTAGGGTCAAAGAGTTATGCAATTATTTACTCCTTTGTGCTGGGCTTCCATTGAGACCCTGGGGGATAAAAAAAAAAAAGCCAGAAAGGAATGCTCTCTTCTCCTAAGACAAAAATAACTATGACAGAGTGTGAAAATGTTAGCTGGGAGACTATTCTGTGCTTCGTGTGCTCTTCTTACTATGTAAGATATGTACACATGGCAGGTGTTTTCTAACCATTTATTAAAAGTAATACAAACTAAATAGTTGGAAAATCTTATATTTGTAATATGCCTGGGAACCTCAGGATTTGGGTCAATTGATTTACCCGAATATCAGTACTTACTCAGGCTGTCATTGCATCATGGAGAGGTCACTGAAGAGACGAGACTTCTCTAGGAAACGGGTGATGAGAGGATTGTTTGTAAAATTTTGCTTTGCCCATGAAATTTATATTAGGATCTTTCCATCCATAAAAATAAGTCCCCAAATAAGGTGAAAAATAAAGTATAAAAATATTACACACAAATATATATATTTATATAGTTCAAATGCATGTATATTTTATATAAGTATATATATACACACACACAAGTATGTCTGTGAGTGTGTATGTGTGTGTACATGAAAATAAAGAGAAGAGAGAGAACATCTCGTTATAGCACGTTCTCGAATTCTGAATTATACCTGCTGTCAAAAACCCACCAAAGGCTGAGTTTTTTATAAAGACAGAACTCAAAATGTTTTCTAAGACTACTTCAACTTTGTGTAGCAATAGATGTGCATATCACCATGCATAAGATAGTGATTTAAATTGCCATGGAAACAGGTATAATAAGCAGAGTCAGCTTTATAGATGTGCTGCATTAACATACTAATCAAACATATATATATGTTTTTTTTTTCCTGCAGTATGCCATGGAACCTAATTATCTGCACATTTGGCCTAGAAATGACTTTATGATGATCGCACTTCCTAACATGGTAGTATAGAATTTCTTATCGACTATAATTTTGCATCTGTAATTAATGTTGTTCATTATTTACTTTTGTACTTTGTGTGTGTGTGTGTGTGTGTATATCTAATTAATCTCATCACCGTTTAGTCTATTTAGTGATCACATCTTTGAAACTTTGGGATTACTGTGGAAAAACTTAAAGTAATTCCCATTGTTGACTTTGAAAGAGATTTAACATACATGATGGCTAATGGGGGGTTATGTGTGATGGTGCCTGACTGTCTTCCCCCCCATGACAGGGAAGGAAAAAATGTCCCAAAATAAAGCCAATGAGATTTAGATTACAGATTAGGAAGTACTTTCAGCCATTAAGGTTTATAGAACATTGGAATATACATTATCAAAATAAGAGTATGTAGCTGTTCTTTCATTAGAACTTAGAGACTTT